TCCGCTTAGGGTGCGGGGGAGATTCAGGTTCAAATCGGTCGAGCCGAAAAACTCTTTTACTTCATCCAACTGTAAAAACAAATCAAAAAGATAAAAAAAACAAATCAAAAATGCCTTTTTCGGGTAAGAAGACTCATTTAATGTATTTGAAAAGTTTTTTCAAAACGTTCCCACAAGTTTTGGTTAATAGATTGCTTTCAACACTAAAGTTGATATATTTGGTTCAAACCCCAACGAGGCTCGGGGGTCAGGGGGGATGATTCTCGCTTCGGGGGCAGAGGGTGGTTCAATTCCCGGTCGAGCCCCTTTAGCTTAGTCGTTTTAAAAAAATCGGTTTACTGTTTTCTTGTGTCCTTTTTTAAAAAAATTTTAAATTTCCCCGGGTAAGCAAGGTATGACTTTGTTTTCCATCCCCTGGGAAATTATAATTACTGTACCCCCGGGAAACTCTTGAATACTTGGGGCGGACCTAATGGCTTTCGTGGTCTAGGGGGATGATTCTCGCTTTGGGGGCAAGAGGTCCCGGGGTTTAAATCCCCGGGCGAGGCCCCAAAAACTCTTTTTTTCCCCTAAGTGTAACAGCAATATCAAAACATAAAAAAAAATGCAAATAATGCCTTTTACGTGCTAAGACACATTTAATGTATTTGAAAAGCTTTTTTTTAAGACGTTCCTACAGAGTTTTTTGGGTTTAAAAGATTGCTTTCAACACTGTTGACATATTTGGTTAAAAACCCCCAAAGGGCTGGTTGTCAGGGGTATGATTTTCACGGTGCGAGATCTCCTGGGTTCAAATCCCCGGGCGGCCCGCTATTTGTCGCTTCGAAAAGGGAAAGCGATTTCTGTTTTTGTCGTTTACACAAATTTTTAGCTGGGGACCCGGGAGTTAAAGGATTGGGTCATGGCGGCATGTCGAGTTCGAGCCCCGTACAAAAAAAACACTCCCTGTGGGGCAGCGATGCAATTAAATCTGTCGAAAGCTGAAACGTCCTCTTTTTGGTGTGGTGTGGGATTTGGGGGATGGAGGTGCCAGCTCACAGGTTTCGTCCCTCGTCACTTGACCTTGGTTCAAAATTACGTGGTCCGTCGCCGTGCCCTTGTGTAGCTGAATAGTGCGACTTTAATATTCACTCACTCCAACAGAATTTTAATTACACAGGTGTAATTAGGTATGATTCTTTTTCCATCTACTGAAAAATTATTATTGCATTTCCCTCAGAATCTCTTTTGAACGCTAGTTCAATTTTGTGTGGTGTGGCTCGGTGGTCTAGGGGTATGATTCTCGCTTTGGGTGCGAGAGGTCCCGGTTCAAATCCCGGTCGAGTCTAAAAATCTTTTTACTTCAGGAAAAATGTAAATATCAATATCAAAAAAATAAAAAATGCAAACGCGAAGAATGCTAATAAGATCTTTTAATTTATTTGAGCAGTATTTTCGGGTAAGACGTTCCTACAGAGTTTTTATTCTGTAAATTGCTTTCTACAGTAACAATTCACACATTTGCTTACTAACCGTAACGAGGCTCGGTGGTCTAGGGTATGATTCTCGCTTAGGGTGCGAGAGGTCCCGGGTTCAAATCCCGGTCGAGCCCGAAAATCTCTTTTTACTTCATCCAACTGTAAAAGCAATATCAAAACGATAAAAATACAAATGCAAAGAATGCCTTTTACGTGCTAAGAAGACTCATTAATGTATTTGGTACCGCAAGCTTTTTGCAAGACGTTCCTACAGAGTTTTTGGTTAATAGATTGCTTTCAACACTAAAGTTGATATATTTGGTTACAAACCCCAACGAGGCTCGGTGGTCTAGGGGTATGATTCTCGCTTCGGGTGCGAGAGGTCCCGGGTTCAATTCCCGGTCGAGCCCATTGAGCTTAGTCGTTTTAAAAAAACTCGGTTTACTGTTCTTCTTGTGTCCTTTTCAAAAGAATTTTAATAACCCTGGAGTAAGCAAGGTATGACTTTGTTTTCCATCCACTGGGAAATTATAATTACTGTACCCCTGGAATTTAATACTTGGGGTCAACTCAATGGCATGGCTCGGTGGTCTAGGGGTATGATTCTCGCTTTGGGTGCAAGAGGTCCCGGGTTCAAATCCCGGTCGAGCCCGAAAATCTCTTTTTACTTCATCCAAGTGTAACAGCAATATCAAAACCATAAAATAAAAATGCAAATAATGCCTTTTACGTGCTAAGACACATTTAATGTATTTGAACAAGCTTTTTGCAAGACGTTCCTACAGAGTTTTTGGTTAATAGATTGCTTTCAACACTAAAGTTGACATATTTGGTTAAACCCCCAACGCTCGGTTGTTCAGGGTATATCTGGCTACGGTGCGAGATCCTGGGTTCAAATCCCGGTCGAGCCCGCAATATTTGTCGCTTCTGAAAGGAACGCGATTTCTGTTGTGTCGTTTACAACAGAATTTTTTAGGGCTGCGGCAGCCCAGTAGTTAAGGTATTGGATCATGGCAGGCATGTCATGAGTTCGAGCCCTGTACAACTGTGTTCACCCGTGTGGGGCAAGGGCAGCGATGCACACAAATCTGTCGAAAGCTGAAACGTCCTCTTTTGGTGTGGTGTGGTATTTAGGAGATGGAGGTGCCAGTTCACAGGTTTCTCTGTCCCCTCAGGGGCTCACCTTCTTTAGGTGAGTACGGGTCGCCTCCCGAGGCCCGCATGATCTTTCCTCTTCCTGGCGTTTAATGTCTTTGGTAAACATGGGTTTCACGAACCCAGGGTACCCTAGTGATCTCTATTTTCGGCCCCTTCTCCTTGCCATTCACCCCCTTTTCTTCTTCTTCCCCGTGTAGACCCGGCTTCGGTGACCTATATTAAAGAATGAACTTTTGTTTAAATTCTGTTTTTCTATTGAAAACTTTCTTTCTTTTATTACTAACATATTATGGTTTACATTTGTATTGTGTTAGCTTCTTAGTTCCTTTTTCGTATATTTTCCTTTTTAAATTTTGATTATGTTAAGTGTTTTATTTATTTTCGATTAACACCGTTGTTTTTTCAACCTCGCATGTTTGCCGTGTGCGGCGTCCCGTAAGGGGGAAAATGGTGTTCTGGGGATCTTCTTTGGTGTTCCCTTTGTCCACGCTTCTCCAGTATGGAGGAGGTTAGTGGCCTAGGGATGCCCTGCGTTCCCTGGCCCACGCCACCGTAGACGGTGGCAAGTGAGCCTCGCTCCCCTGTCAATCGGCTGGTAGTACCTTCCTCTTCGGTATCCCGAAGTTATGATACCGCTGTGTAGGGTTAGTGCTGCAGATAAGGGGTGTCGGCTTAAATTCGCTGGATCCTCACCTGGACTGTATCACTATCTTCTGGTGTACTCTAAGTGCTGCCGTGCCTGTTTTGGCCAGATGACCGCACTATGCCTCCCTTGTTGACCTCGTGGTGGGTGGAGGCACGCCAGGATGAAGTGGTATACGCGTTATTATGGATCCAAAGCTGCTGTGCCCGGCAAGGCCCCTCGTATTACCCTAACCTAAGTATTGACAAAATTGCGACTAATGCAAGATTTTTTATTACTTTCCTTTCCGAATAATGACATAGTCTTCTAAATCACCTTTTGCTGGTTGGCCAGAAAGCACCTCATTGGAATAGGTAGAACCCAAATCAAGTCAAAAGATTAAGATCAGGGGATCTACTAATAGAAACACTCTCGCTATACAAATCCAAGTTCTTTCTTCCTCAAAAACCTTCTTTAATTCACCTTAATAATAAATAAGTCCGCATAAAACTCTTCTGAACTCTCGTGTCGTGGAGTCGAGTTTTCTGAACCTTGACCTGTTGACCACTTCCTGAACCGGAAATCCTTGATGGATTTTTCTGAACAGGGTGTAATCTGTGGGTCAGAAGAATAACAATTCAAAAAAGATGCATCAATATCTCCGACCAAACATATAATTTTAACTTTCAATAGCCCCAAACTTCCATCCACAATTGTGCCGGCTACCTTAACTGTGTACCTCTCGCCCGGTACATTCCGCGAACCCTGCGCTGTTTCGCGCCAGGAGGTTCGACACTCACAAACCTCCCCAAGCCGCGGTCAATCTTCTACTTGTTTCTAGATGCGCATCTGTTGACATGCTTTCCACAGATTGCATTCTAGAGCCAAATGTATTAACTGCTCTCAGAACCATTCCGCCGATTCAAAAATCTGCCCTAAATGGAAAAGAGAGAAACAAATACAGGAAATTAAAACAAGTAAAAACATTTCACCCAGAAACACACGCAAATTAATAGTGCTCAACTATCCCAAACATAGTGCTCAAGTTACAAAAACCTACAGCACAACCACACACACATGTACACAACCCCATCCAAAATATTACAAAACATAATTCAAGTTCATCTTTTTAGTATGTTCTCGGAAACCGTATCTTCTGCAAATACTCATACCAAGTACCCGGTTTCCAAATATTCCACAGCTTCTACGTCATCTTCATCCACACCTCAAGCTAATAATTCTACCCTTCCACATTCGCAATACTACCAACAACCCAAGCGAGTCTTTGAGCTACCAATACCCATTACTAATACTCAGCTTCACTTCCCCCTCAGCAATAGCCTAAATACTCCGCTTCATCGTTATCAACTGAAATACCTACAGTTCTGGCCAACTTTAAATTCTGTTACTCTATCAACTGATGTTCAATCATCAGTTTCCCCATATCAGAAAGCCTACAACTACTACATCCAATAAAAGAATATTTAACGCATCCCAACGAAATTCAAGAAGTAGAAGAAAAACGCCCAAAAATACAAAACCAGTAATAGAAATAAAAAATGACTCCACATAAAACCCGCGGTTACAATCCCCAAGAACATACTACTGATGACGAAGACATGATTGTCTATGACGTTGAAAATGAGCTCGAAATGATTCCCTCAAGATAAATTCGCCAAGTAAAGGATTGCTACAAGAACAATCCTGCTTCTTATGTGTACGTGCGATAACCCAACACGATTTAGGAAAGTTTGACTAATTTTATTAATCACATAGATTGCTTGTCAAACCTTTTTCATTAAGCAAAATTTTTGTTTTTATTAATGCTTTTATTTTAAGATACAGTCTGACTTGGTGGGGAACCCCGCCACCAAATCTTGTTTGCTTTTATTACTCTATAACCGTTTAAAACGTGATTTGAAATTTTATCTTTTAAAAACTGTATTATTAATGCTTTTATATATTTTATCTTAATGTTTCAATATTTGTCAAATGTTTGGCGCAAGTTTAGCCAGATTTGCTCTTGCGCCAAAACCCTCACCACTCAACTCACAGGTTTTCGTCCTCGTCACTTGACCTTTGGTTCAAAATTACGTGGTCCGTCGCCAAAAGCCCTTGTGTAGCTGAATAGTGCGACTTTTAATATTCACTCTCACTCCAACAGAGTTTTGCACTACACAGAGTGTACTAGGTATGATTCTTTTTTTTCCATCTACTGAAAAATTATTATTGCATTTCCCTCAGAATCTCTTTTGAACGCTAGTTCAATTTTGTGTGGTGGTGTGGCTCGGTTGTCTAGTATGATTCTCGCTTTGGGTGCGAGAGGTCCCGGGTTCAAATCCCGGTCGAGCCCGAAAATCTATTTTTACTTCAGGCAAATGTAACACAATATCAAAAAAATAAAAATGCAAACGCGAAGAATGCTAATAAGATCTTTAATTCTATTTGAACAAGTATTTCGCAAGACGTTCCTACAGAGTTTTTTATTCAGTAAATTGCTTTCTACAGTAACAATTCACACATTTGCTTACTAACCGTAACGAGGCTCGGTGGTCTAGGGGTATGATTCTCGCTTAGGGTGCGAGAGGTCCCGGGTTCAAATCCCGGTCGAGCCCGAAAATCTTTACTATCCAACTGTGTACAATATCAAAACGATAAAAAATACAAATGCAAAGAATGCCTTTACGTGCTAAGAAGACTCATTTAATGTATTTGAAACGCTTTTAAGACGTTCCTAAAGGGTTTTGGTTAATAGATTGCTTTCAACACTAAAGTTGATTATTTGGTTAAAAACCCCCAACGAGGCTCGGTGGTTGGGGGATGATTCCGCTTGGGGTGCGAGACCCCGGGTTCAATTCGGTCGAGCCTTGGTTTATCTTTTAAAAAACTCGGTTTGCTGTTCTTCTTGTGTCCTTTTCAAAAAATTTTAATAACCCTGGAGTAAGAAAGGTATGACTTTGTTTTCCCCACGGGGGAAATTATAATTACTGTACCCGGGAATCTTTAAGAATATTTGGGGTCAGGACCAAAGGCGGCTCGGGTCTAGGGGTATGATTCTCGCTTTGGGTGCAAGAGGTCTGGGGTTCAAATCCGTCAGCCCAAAAATCTTTTTTACTTCACCCAATTTAACGAATAAAAAAAACCATAAAATAAAATCAAAAAATTTTACGTGCTAAACACATTTAATGTTTTTGAACAAGTTTTTTTGCAAGACGTTCCTACAGATTTTTTTGGTTAATAGATTGCTTTCAACACAAAAGTTGACATATTTGGTTAAAACCCCAAGGGGGGGTTTTGCGGGGGGTTGTTTTCCCTTGGTGGGAATTCCGGGGCAAACCCCGGTCGGCCCCCAATATTTTCCTTCTGAAAGGCCGCGATTTCTGTTGTGTCGTTTAAAAAAGAATTTTTAAAGCTGCGGCGCCGTAGTTAAGGTATTGGATCATCGGCATGTCAGAGTTCGACCCCTTAAAACTAAAAGCACTCCGTGTGTGGCAGCGATGCAAAAATTGTAAAACGAAACGTCCTCTTTTTGGGTGGTGTGGTATTTTGGGGATGGAGGTGCCAGCCCCGGTTTCGTCCTCGTCCTTGACCTTGGTTCAAAATTCGTGGTCCGTCGCCAAAAACCCTTGTGTAGCTGAATGTGCGACTTTAAAATTTTACTCACTCCCAAAAGAGTTTTTTACCAATGAATTTGGTATGATTCTTTTTCCATCTACTGAAAAAATTTTTATTGCATTTCCTAAATCTCTTTTTTAACGCTAGTTCAATTTTGTGTTTGGCCCCGGTGGTCTGGGGATGATTCTCGCTTTGGGTGCGGGGTCCCGGGTTCAAATCGGTCGAGCCCCAAAAACTTTTTTAAATTCAGGCAAATGTAACACAATATCAAAAAAAAAAAATGCAAACCGAAGAATGCTAATAAGATCTTTAATTCTTTTAAAATTTTTAAGACGTTCCCCGAGTTTTTTATTCAAAAATTTCTTTCAAACAATTCCCCTTTTCTTATAACCGTGAGGCTCGGTGGTCTGGGGTATGATTCTCGCTTGGGTGGGGCGGGGTTTAAATCCCCCGGGCAGGCCGAAAATCTCTTTTTCTTCATCCCAAAGTAAAAGCAATATCAAAACGATAAAAAAAATCAAAAGAATCCTTTTTCGTGCTAAGAAGACTCATTTAATTATTTGAACAACTTTTTTCAAGACGTTCCTACAGGGGTTTAGTTGCTTTTTAACACCAAAAATTGATATATTTGGTTACAAACCCCAACGAGGGCCGGGGGCAAAGGGGGGATTCTCGCTTCGGGGGGGAGGTCCCGGGGTTTAATTCGGTCGGCCCCCTTTAGCGTCGTTTTAAAAAACTGGTTTTCTTTTCTTTTGGGCCTTTTTAAAAGAATTTTAATAACCCTGGGTAAGCAAAGGGATATTTGTTTCCATCCACTGCAAAATTATAATTATTCCCCCGGAATCTCTTAAGAATACTTGGGTCAGGACCAAATGGCATGGCTCGGTGGTCTAGGGTATGATTCTCGCTTTTTGGGGGCAAGGGTCTCGGGTTCAAACCCGTCGAGCCCCAAAATCCTTTTTACTTCATCCCAAATGTAACAGCAATATCAAAACCATAAAATAAAAATGCAAAAAATGCCTTTTACGGGTAAAACATTTAATGTATTTGAACAAGCTTTTTTAAGATTCCTACAGGTTTTTTTGGGTTTAAAAGTTTTCTTTCAACACTAAAGTTAAAATTTGGTTAAAAACCCCAACGAGGCTCGGTTGTCTGGGTATGATTTTGCTTTCGGTGCGAGATCTCCTGGGTTTAAATCGGTCGAGCCCGTATTTGTCGCTTCTGAAAAGGAAAGCGATTTCTGTTGTGTCGTTTACAACGTTTTTTGGGGCCGCCCCTAAAAAGGGCGGGGGGCATGCGAGTTAAACCCGCCAAACATCCCGGGGGGCAGCGATGCACATTTAAATCTGTCAGCTGAAAAGTCCCTTTTTTTTGTGGTGTGGTATTTATGAGATGGGGTGCCAGCTCACAGGTTTTTTTCCTCGTACTTACCTTGGTTCAAAAATTTGTGGTCCGTCCCAAAAACCCTTGTGAGCTAATAGTGGGCTTTAATATTCACTCACTCCCAAAAGAGTTTTAATTTCACAGAGGGAATTAGGTATGATTCTTTTTTTTCCATCTACTGAAAAATTATTATTGCATTTCCCTCAGAATCTCTTTTGAACGCTAGTTCAATTTTGTGTGGTTGGCTCTGGTCTGGGGGATGATTCTCCCGGGGGGGGGGCCGGGGTTTAAATCCCCTCGGCCCCAAAATCTCTTTTACCAGGGAAAAAGTCACTATCAAAAAAAAAATTTAAACCGAAGAATGCTAATAAGATCTTTAAATTTATTTGGCAAGTATTTGCGCGTTCCTACAGAGCTTTTTTTTCAGTAAATTGCTTTGTAACAACACACATTTGCTTACTAACCGTAACGGGCTCGGGGGTCGGAAAATTTGCTTAGGGTGCGAGGGGGCCCCGGGTTTAAATCCCCGGGGAGCCCCAAAATTTTTTTTACTTCATCCAACTGTAAAAACAATATCAAAACGATAAAAATACAAATGCAAAGTCCTTTTTTCGTGCTATGAAGACTCATTTAATGTTTTGAACAAGCTTTTTTTCAAGAGTTCCCACAGAGTTTTTGGTTAATAGATTGCTTTCAACACTAAAGTTGAAAATTTGGGTTTCAAACCCCAACGGGGGCCGGGGGTCTAGGGGTATGATTCCCTTGGGGGAGGTCCCGGGTTCAACCCGGTCGGCCCCTTGAAGCTTAGTCGTTTTAAAAAACTCGGTTTACTGTTCTTCTTGTGTCCTTTTTAAAAAAATTTTTTAAAAACCCTGGGTAAGCAAGGTATGACTTTGTTTTTTCCCTCCACGGGAAATTATAAACACCCCCGGAATTTTTAAAATACTTGGGGTCGGACCAAGGATGGCTCGGGGTCTGGGGGTATGATTCTCCTTTGGGTGCAAGAGGCCCGGGGTTCAAACCCCGGTCACCCCGAAAATCTCTTTTACTTCATCAAGGTAACAGCAATATCAAAACCATAAAATAAAATGCAAATAATCCCTTTTTACGTGTAAGACACATTTAATGTATTTAAACAAGTTTTTTGAAACGTTCCTACAATTTTTTGGTTAAATAGATTGCTTTAAACACTAATGTTGACATTTTTGGGTTTAAAAATCCCCAAGGCTCGGTTGTTGGGGTATGATTTCGTTTACGGTGCGAGATCTCCGGGTTAAAACCCCGTCGACCCCGTATTTTCTTCTGAAAGGAACGCGATTTCTGTTGTGTCGTTTTAAAACAAAATTTTTTTGGGGTTTTGGGCGCCCGGATTAAAGGTATTGGATCATGGCAGGCATGTCATGAGTTCGAGCCCTGTACAACTAAAAACCCCGTGTGGGGCGCGTCACTAAATCTGTCGAAAACTGAAACGTCCTCTTTTTTTGGGGTGGTGTGGTATTTGGAGATGGAGGTGCCAGTTCACAGGTTTCGTCCCCTCCGGGGCTCATTTTTTAGGTGGACGGGTTTCACGCTCCCGGGTGCCCCGGATCTTTCCTCTTCCTAAGGGTTTAATGTCTTTGGTAAACATGGGCTTCACGAACCCAGGGTACCCTAGTGATCTTTCTCTATTTTCGGCCCTTCTCCTTGCCATTAAATTTCCCTTTTCTTCTTTTCCCGGGAGACCACAGACCATATTAAAAAAATGAACTTTTTTTTAAATTTGTTTTTCTATTGAAAAAAAATTTCTTTTATTTCTAACATATTATGGTTTACATTTGTATTGTGTTAGTTTAGTTCCTTTTCGTTATTTCTTTTTTTGATTATGTTGCTTTATTTATTTTCATTCACCGTTGTTTTTTAAACCCCCATGTTTGCCGTGTGCCGTCCGTAAGGGGAAAATGGTGTTCTGGGGGTCCGGTTCCTTTGTCCCCGCTTCTCCCGTTGGAGGAGGTTGTCCTAGGGATCCTCTGGTTCCTTTTTGGCCCACGCTTCACTGTAGACGGGTGGCGGGGACCCGCCCTGTCAATCGGCTTTTAATACCCCCCTTCGGTATCCCCGAAGAGACACTGTAGGGTTAGTGCTGCGATAAGGGTGTCGGTTTACCCCTTGGATCCTCACCCCGGACTGTATTATCTTCGGGGGTTTTGGGGCGCCCTGCCCGGTTTTGGCCAGATGACCGGCA